TCGGTTCGGCACCCACCTTAATGATGTCAGGACTAATTGTCGAACACGATTGAACATCCTCCGCTCCCTCTCCGGGCAGCATAAAACGAGCAACAGGATCATCGTACTCAATACCGCCAGAGCCATTGTTCATAGCCGACTGACCTACGGAATTGAGCTTCTCTGTGCGTCCAGCGATTCGGTCGTCACCCGACTAGCACCGATATATAACCAGGCAACACGAATTGCGGCTGGACTTCTGCCCTCAACACCAGCCGATACCGCCTGTATTGAAATCGGAGTGCTCCCTTTCCGATATTACATTGCGGAAACAATCTGTACCAGAGCCGTGGGCCTCGACGAAAAATTAAGCGGAGACGGAGAATTGTATCTCCTCACAGAAGGGAAACGAATCCTCCAGGAAATCGCTCACCAGGAGCTCCCCCCGGTGGCCCAGCTTCACTGGAACGGAGCCAGAGAGTGGGATTCTTCCCCCATCCGAGTAGACAAATCCATGGCCAAGCAGTTCCGAGCAGGAGACAACTCTACGGCAATGAGATCCTGTCTCACCGAATTATTACAAACACGGTACCACAACTATGAACTCCGTTTCACCGACGGCTCCAAGGCAGGAGGCAGGGTCGGCTTTGGAGTAACTGATGGACAGACCTCACACTTCTGGAGACTTCCCGATCAATGCTCGGTCTTCTCGGCCGAGACTGCAGCCCTCCATTACGCAGCTTCCCTACCATCCTCCTCCCCGCTATGTGTACTAACCGACTCTGCTAGCGCCGTCGCGGCACTGGAATCCGCCACTGCCCGCCACCCCTGGATTCAGGCCATACAAAACCACACCCCCCCTGGCACCACTTTCATGTGGATACCGGGACACTGCGGAATTGCCGGAAACACAGAAGCAGACCACCTCGCTGCCATTGGACGAAATGACCGACTCGCCAACACTTCGGTCCCCAGACAGGACCTGAAAAGTTGGATCAAGTCAACCCTCGGGACGGCATGGGACCGCGAATGGTTCGCCAGGAGAGACCTCTTCATCCGGAAGACCAAAGGGGTAACCCTTCCCTGGACGGATGCCCCAAGGTTTAACGACCAGAGATTCCTGTCCCGGTTAAGAAGCGGCCACACCCGCATCACCCACAACATGGGGAGCAGCAGTGGCAGAAACTTCCGCCAAAGATGCGACACCTGCAGAACAATAATGACGGTCGAGCACATTCTTATAAACTGCCCTTGTTTCCACGGACCACGAGAACTTTACGGGATCCCGGGCAACATCCGAGACGCCCTTCAGAACGACCCGGTAGCAGAGGCACAACTGATATGTTTCGCGAAGGAGGCCGGAATCTACAAGAGGGTTTAACCCATATACATTATGACAGTAGGCCCGGCATTCCCTGCCGGTAGTGGGTGCCAGGTCTCTCCTGGCAGCTGCTACCGGTGGGGCTCTGCTGGGGTCCTCAAAACAAAACAGAAAACACAAAAGATGACAGCAACATAGGACAGTAAGGCAAAATAAGTTCCCCTCTGGAACCGCAACCATCATTCAACTCCGCAAAATAAAAACTCTGTACCTTCTCTCCCTTTGGGATACCCCCTTCTGGGGTGTCCGGAGACGAACCAGCCCAGGGCTGAAAGTCTCCTTAATAAAGATAATTAAAAAAAAAAATACCTGATCAACCTGAAGTCTTTAAAAAAATGTCAACAGAACTTCATGGAGATCTTAAAACACCTGAAAATTTATGAGCAGCCTTGTATCACATGATATAATATTTGTTTGATGTAAGAGACTCAAGCGCTTTCATGCAATTCAGTGAAGATCCATGCATTTTCATGAAGTTCTTTAATATACTATGAAATTCAAACAACTTCAATGATTTTCCCCGGTCTTTTATGAAATTACCTGAATTTCAATGATTTTCCCTGATTTTTTTAATTGCAAAAAAATATTCAAACGTTAATTTGTGGAAACTCTTAGCTCGTTCATGCAAACTAACATTAACATCAGGTAGGGAAAAGTTTCCCCGACATTTTGGTGGTTTAAGTCTGGATGGGCGAGTTAAGAGTTTCAACTTATTGACGTTTGAATCTATGTTTAAAAAAGCAGATATGGCTATTTAAAAATTAACGCTTGAAACATAAAGACAATTCATACATCGATCTGTACCAGACAAGCCAGAGCGTTAGAGTGGATCTTAATGAAAGATTAATTTAGGTAATGTATCAATTTTTGGACCTACACCGGTGTTGTAGTGGTAAGCGTGACTGCTTTCTCATCCCCAATGGGTCTGGGTTCAATCCCAGCCGAGGTCGGTGGGATTTTTCTGAGGCATAAAAATCTCTGGTTCCGGCCCATGTGTGTTGAATGAGTGCGATATCCTACGCAGGTGTGGAAGCTGCCTTCCTGTACATTCGATTGCCGTCAATGGATGGCAATCGATGTCCGTCGGTGATTGGCACTAGATTGCGGAACACGTTTATTTATAGTTATAGTTTAGTCTTATATAAGCTTCAATCACAGGCAAACAGCAATAACACATTGAATATTTCTCACTGTAAAATATCGTCGCTAAAACACTACCGCCATCTGTTGAGTTCACTGTGAAGGGCAGTGTCCTCAATAGATGGCGGTAATGTATAAACGTCGAACGCAAAACAATTGACTACGCACGCCACAGGTGGCGGTACCACCAACTAAGAAACATTTAAATTAATCGGTAAATTCGTGTTCGATGAACAACTTACGAGAGATATGTCTGTTTGTCTGTGCTTCTATATAAACTGTCATTAACGATTGCCTCATTGTTGAGAAGTGAGCTTGTTCACAGCATCGACACGCGTTTTGCTGGTTCGCTATTAAAACTGTTAATAAAATTTAATTAGAATCTTCTAAAGAACAAGCTTCTTATGAAGTTTTGAATCGACCTTCTACGAGTTGTATGAAACTTTAGGTAATTGTTTGTTATGGGATGTTGAGAGCATTCGATGCCTGTACCATTTTTGCATTAGGATAATTGTATGCCAAGTACAATCATTCTCTACGCCCAGGGAAGTCTAAACATTTTGAAACCCGAAAATATCCTAGACCGGATCGGGAATCGAACTCATCCACCTCCAGCATGATTTTGCTTTGTAGCCGCGCCGTTACCGACTGAGCTAAGATAGGCTGTTTATGATTATACCATTATCAAATTTTGCCAGTTCTAATCTCATTTTATTTTTCATCGAAATAAACATTGCTGAAGGCACCATATCAATCGAACAAACCGTTTCGACAATATTTTAACTCATTAGTACTATTTTTACACAGGCCCAGTTGGAAAAGTACTTCTTTCTTATTATAGAGACTTTCAGCCTTTATCTGGTGTAGTTGTGGAAAATTAGTCGTGACCCAATATTAGGAATTGATAACATAAAATGGCATCTTTACTAAAAAGGACCAACTGTGCAAAACGTCAGCAAAATCGGAGCTAACAAATAAATTTTTTTTTTAAATCGTCATTTGAATGTAATTACTCAAAATGTAGCCATGAAGTAGGATATGTCGATGTAAGAGATGCTCAGAATTTACTCACCTGGCGGCGCGCGTTAATGTACCATTCATTTTTAATTTGCCTTAACTTAACATCTTACTACTAGTTAGAAGGTTCCTGTCTTCTACAAAGTTGTTCAGATGGATATCTCACTTCATGAGAACATTTTCCGACACCAAAATTTACCTGTATTTTTCGAACTGTGTATTTTTTTTTTATTATGGTTAACTACCTCATTCCCGGCCTATTAAGCACAACCCGCATTTAGTCTTTCTTAATCTAGCGCATTTTAACACCAAACGAAATGTCATTATTACTTATGGCTTCCTTATTTATTTACCTTTCCGTAAGTACCGTAAGATTTGATAAAGAGAAACCAATCGTTGAGATATTGTCAAAAGTCTAACACTACTTCTTGACGCCAAACTCGGCCTACGGATTTTAAACTCGGCCTAACGCATTGAAACGCCAATGAATTCACTTCGGCCTATCGGATGAAGATAAAAATTGATTCGGTCGCAGCGCTTCTTTTGTTTTTGGGAATTATGGGTGCAAACCTTGACTTCGTTCCGGAGCTTATTAACTAAAGTATCGTACCAAACGCATAATTGACTTATTAACTGCTTGATAGACCCAAAATGGGCGATTGGGCCGAAGCAGTTCTCTACCCTATTAATTTATTCATTTTATACATTTTTTGTTGTATAATATTCTAGAAGAAGTGTTCCAACATTCTTTCAAGTTGCCTCCTTTAACACCTGCACGATATCCTAAAAACCACGTTCTAGACCACTTTCAACTTTTAGCGCATCCACGCAACATTAGCACCAAAATGTCAGTCCCGAAGAAAAATTATCACCGAAAACTAACAAAACTACACACACCGCCCGATATGCAAATCATCTGGCAGTTCATAACTCGTTTTTCAAGTCCCCAAAATTTGCCAGAGAAACGCCAAATTCAATGCCTTCCAATCTGCCTCGTTCTCATCCCCAAAACCGATGTCAATGTTGACTGCAGATCAGCCCTAGTAGTATGTAGTAGTAGTGACGGACGGTGGTTCAGTAATTCCAAGTTCAACCATCCACCGTCGTCGTATTCGTCATAGATATGATAATAGGCCCACAGCAAGCACCGCACGCAATCGAGTCAATTTTGGGGGTCACACCACTCGACTACTATGCCGCCAAACGACGAACCTCACCTACTCCGCTGCAATCATAAGCTGGTGGTCGTGGCCCGATAATACTACCTACTATTCACACATAAATATTGGCTCTTCTCCCTTTCCATTTCAAATACAAAGTGAAAGACCACGTGCCAATCGACCAAGCACCAACACACAACACGGCGCGGCCCGCTGGAAGAGCGAGACGGCGAGCAGAGCACGAAACTCGCGCAACGGTGGGGAGTTTAGCGTGGCTCGATCGATCGAAAGCTTGCCAAGTCCACTCTATCCGTCGAAGTCAGTTTGGATTTATCCATCTCGGAATTCGGAAGTGCTAGAGAGCCTCGCGACCCGTCAGAGTGTGTGTTTTCTCTTTTCTATTCCCCCTCGTGTGGTTTGGAATTCTTCTCGGAGGATCCAGCATCCCCAGTGGCAGCAGCAGCAGCAAGAGCAGGATCAGAAACGACCCAGAGGATTCCCAACGACGCACACACACACGCACCCTTCCACATCCCCGTCGCAACAAGGATTCGTAGTTGAAAAGTGAGTGCATTTTACCCAGCTGTTGTGAAATGGACATAGAAAGAGAGAGTGATTTTGACCGTTGTTTGAAACATAAAGAAAGAGCTTGAAAGATGAAAGTTAGGGGGCCATGCGGGAACGGAAATTAGCCACCCCATGTGGAGAAATGTGGGCACGAAATGGAAAACGACGGACTCTTTGATGGAAGAAGTGGGCAAATGAACCGGAACTAGACATATTTTTGGATCAGTGTTGAACTGTTTTTTTGGTAGTTTGGGAAATTGAAGTGCGTGCTGAGATCGATGCAGATGATTCAGATTGATGTATATGGGGCAGCCAAATGGAATGGATTGGGTAGTTTTTTTTTTTTTGATAATTGCATCTCTCGTGTTTCGCGAGCAGATGTTTCGTCGAACAACTGTAAACGGATTGAGCAAATGTTGTGGTCGTAAAAGTGCATTTATGGATTTATGGTTTTTGGATGGTTTATGAATACAGTATAAACTGATTCAGTTTTCAATTAGGTTCATTTAATTATCGGCGATTGAATAGAGTAATGAAACGCTATTGGCGAATGGTTTGGAATGAATATTTTTGTAGCAACTTTGCTGAAGACATAAATGTTCTATCTCTAACGGTAACTTAGGGTGACTCATGAAAAATCTTGTTATACCTTGATGGCTCGCAAAAGAATTAGGGTAAATGATGGCTTCGGCACCCATTGACTGTTTTCGGCAACTAAAATGTAAACGTTAATTTCACTGTATTCGTTCACCAAAACAGTTAGCTGAATGTATTTGAATGATTCTGTAGTCTTTCAGATTATGTAGTTATGCCAGGTTTTTCTTCAAATGAAATATACGCACCATAAAATACGGCTGATTTAGAACTGCCTATAATAGAACAGCAGGTTAACACGCAGTTCAAATGGAAATGTTGCCGAAGAAAAAGAGGCTGCCGACAATAGTCACACTCACCTGAGAAGTTTGTAGCGTAGTAAAAACGGTTTCAAATGTTTTGGACAATTTTGTCGATTGACAAGGATAGAATGCAATTTGAACTAAATAGCCCATAATGCTAATTTTAGAAAATCCGTAAAATATTTGATACATTTGAATGCAAAATGAGGATTCAGGTTTACGGGATACCCCTCACCATCCTTCTCCAACTGGGGAGTTTGGTAAAAAGAGACGATCAACTCGATTCGTACCTTCCTCAACGTTGTCCTTGCTCGCTTTCTACTCTCTATATAAAATTTTCACACTACCGTACACGGTAAAAAGTTATCACATCTAATCCAAATGCTTTTGCAGTCGACTTAGTCTGCTATGCGGCACTACGAATCGAAGTAATTTATCATTGATTTTCAAGTTATTTGAGTTTTGAAACAGTGATTTGTCGTTGAAAAATATATACTGTATAACACATTTAAATCAAAATGATTATCATTTGAATCGGCACCACTGCTTTCATCCATTGAATTTGATAAGTTTTGCTTTTGGAAGCAAATGTCAAAATCGCACATGACAAACATTACTCGCGAAGCTGGCAAGTCAACAACAAATGAAGTCAAGCGATAGAAGCGATAATTGTCCATATCCACCCGAAATAATTTGCGTTCTAGAGCGTATTATTAAGAAAAGTTCGATTACTGAACATTGTCAAACTTATCAAATTTATTGCTCAATGTCTCGTCTTGATTCTACTGAAAGCCTTGCGATGTTGTTCAATATCACTTGGAAACATGTAGTCTGGTAATATGATATGGTCATATTCTGAATAAAATATATCAAGGCTTGCAAGGTTATATATTTATTTAAACCCATTTTCAGCAAAAATTAAATCCAAGGATAAATTATTTAAACTTAAAGTGATAGATTGTCAATATCAGTATGGTTGACATTTCGAGTTTAAATCACAGCACATCAACTACGATGAGAAATAAAATATAAAATTAAGTGATTTGTTGTTGATTTCATCGTGCGTCGATACGATCTCTTCCAAGGGATTTGCACAACGGAATACAATGTTTGGCAAGTAGTGCAAATTCAACAGCAAATCACTTTACATGAACATGATGTTTTTGTACCGTGTACTTCAACGGAACTATAAACTCTATACTTTCATCTCCTCCATCTATCGTATAAAATTACCACTTTAAGTCTATTATTTGACGCTTAGCATCTTCAACTATGTAAATCGTTAACCTCACGCAGAAGTAATACAAACAAAATAGTTAAAATAGGCTAAGTTTGAAAAATATTAATCAGCAATAATTGATGTATTTTAAATCTATTGATATTGAATAAATCTAAATATGTTGTCTCAAATGGTGCAAATAGATTTTAAATTAGCCAATAAATTATGATGAGTTAAGATTTTTCAAACATTGCAAGTTTGCCTTTACACATTTCATTTGAGGCATCGTGTTCGAAGCAGTGCTGAGATTTGTCATTGTCATTGACAGACTTTTGCGCGATATTGACAAAATTGCTTTTCTCATAGTGACTTGATCCTCAAAAAAAAACCTTTGACAAAATCTCATTCATTTTTCGTCAATGACATAGATTAACCTGGCAACAAAAAGTGTAATTTCGTGCGTTATGAGTCTCATTTCCATATGAGTTTTGAATTGCATGTTGCTGGTTTTAAAGCATTTAATGCTGCTTGACTATCAGACATAATGCAGATATTCTAATGTTTATAATTTCTACACAAGCACATTACAGAGCATTCAAGAATTGCTTGAATTTCTGCTTGGAACACAGTTGGCCAGTAACCCATAGATATTGAGATATCCATCCCTGGACCAGTTACCCTTGCTCCCACACGATTGTTCAATCTTGAACCGTGTGTATAAAAACGGTTGAACCTGGACTGTGTTCGTCACATGTTCGTCACTGTTCGTCGCTGAAAGAATTGTCACTGATAATTGACGTGGTTTGCCTTGACGTAAGACTGTTAGCTCAAATGAGTGACCAAAGCAGAATTTTGAATATCGCCGTGTATTGTTGAGATTTTGCAGCACTGTCAATCTGACATTTTCCGGATTATCGAGTCGTCAGATAAGTGAGTGTCGGATGAGCGGGAGAATACTGTATATTATGGCGACGACAACATATCGAGAAGACTGGCAACTTTGCCTGACAGACACAGTAGCGCTGTGCTCGAGCGAAGGTGGAAGCAGCGCATAGAAAAATGAGCAAATACACACCTTTCTTCTGAGGATGGAGCCTTTGCTATCCAATTCTGTAAGAGCATTTACCTTTGAGTGGCAGATGACTAATACCGGTTGTATGAGAAAATGGAAAAGTTGCCAGTCTTCTTGATATGTTGTCTTCGATTTTGGGCAATCGTTCACATTTTTGCTAAAATTCGGCCTTTTTCGATCTTGATTTTTTTTTTCAAAATAGCGTCTTTGACATTTTTCATTTTTCGCACGTCTGCTTTACTTCTGATCGAAATGACTCTTAAGACAAAGTTGTGAAGAAAAAAATGTATTTTTGGAAAGAATATCAAAGGAAATTTAATTTAGTAATTTATGGTAAAAATACAATAAATTGTTAAATGCCTAAATACTTGAAAACTACCTTAATAAATTTTTGGATTTTTTATTTAAAAAAAAATAACATTGCACATTTTTCGAAAGTTCAAAACTATGCACATTTGAACATTTGCAAAACTCGTAGAACAAGAACTTTTTGTCAAATTTGTGATACTAAGATACTTTTTTGGGTTATATTTTCACAGGAAACGGTTTAAAATAGCTCAAATTGTGTTTCCTGTGTATAAATTGAATCTATGACAAAAGGTTGAAAGACAAAAGGTCGAAAGAGAAAAGATCGAAAGACGAAAGGTTGAAAGACAAAAGGTCAAAAGACAAAAGGTTGAAAGACAAAAGGTCGAAAGACAAAAGGTCGAAAGACAAAAGGTCGAAAGACAAAAGGTCGAAAAACAAAAGGTCGAAACGCAAAAGGTCGAAAGACAAAAGGTCGAAAGACAAAAGGTCGAAAGACAAAAGGTCGAAAAACAAAAGGTCGAAAGACAAAAGTTTGAAAGGACAAAAGGTCAAAAGGACAAAAGGTCAAAAGGACAAAAGATCGAAAGAGACAAAAGGGTTAAAAGGTCGAAAGCAAAAAAGGTGTAACTTAAATAAGAGTAAATTGTGTTGATATGTTATGTATTAAAGCAGTGCTCGCGTATAAAAGAAGGAGAAACCTCTGGAAATTATGAAATTCTAATATCTCATCATCTTAATTTTTCGAAATTTTTGGAAAAAAAACTGATCATATATAAAACAAGGAAAAATCTAAGAGGTATAAGATTCTGAATTATCATCAATTTTTCAAATCCTACAACTTACAAGTTTTCCAAAGTTTGAAGGGCTCATTTTTAAAATTTAAAGTTTTAGATTCATATTTCAATCAATGTTGCAAATATCCACACCAATGAACACTCAGTACCAGTATTTGAGAGATACAACTCACAATGTTCATTTTTCTACCAGGCTCTCACTACGAATAGGACAGATGCAATAACAAAAATATTCTGAGTCAACACAGCGGGAGAACAGGCAAATGCTGAGAATGTGTTCATCTAACCAGACTCTCTCTCTCTCAGTCATTGAGCTTAGTCGTTCTGATTCACCATGAATCTAACTCGAGGTCTGAGTCAGAGTGTGCTGATTGAGACAAATTGGGTTAGAGTGAGTCTACCTGTTCGGTGAAGCAGTTGTGTCTTCGTTAGGTGAGCATTGAAGACCGAGGTAAAGACAGCAAATCTGCATTTTAAAAGAATAACAAAAATATTATAACTTCACCAATGAAACAGACGGCTGACAGCTGCAGGCAGAGCGAAAAAAGCTACAAAAGACAGCTCTATCGGGTTATACGCAATGGTGACGTAGAACTACGTGGTCTTATATAATAAATGATTTATTAAATGCAGCAGAAACTTGTGTTTTGTGTTGGAATAAGATTTTGAGCGGGATTCTCTCTGTTTATACTCTTTAGTATGACTAT